TCAGGAATGGCTAAATGACCATCATGAACAGCACCTAGTGGAGGCTGGAAAACCCAGACATTTATACAGCCTATTGTAGATACTTTAGCAGAACTGCTTCAAACAGTATACTCGCTGACTCTGGTTTTCTTTTTTTGTGAGCCATATACCCCAAAAGCCCACAGTGTCATGGGCTGTTTTGTTGCGGCTGCTGAACAATGGTGTTCTGTGGACCCTTTCCACAGCTGTGATGCCCTTTCGCTTGCATACCCCACAGCTAGTACTGCTTTTGGACTGTGGATTACTAACCTGGTGGACTAGATACTACACAAAGTGGATGGCTCACTGATTTCCCCCTTACTGGCTTTGTTATTGGATCTTCTCCTGCAGGGTGGTACAGACCCAGTGCTAGACCTGAAGGTGTACCTTTGACTGCATTGTTGTTGTTATTCCTAGGATATGGAACTTTAACATCCTGTTTGCAATGCAGAGAATACTGACCTGGCATTAGCTATCCTTAATCATACCCTAACTGGTTGTTTTTCCTGCAGCCCAAAATGTTTTGCCCTTGTACTACAGCCTGGGTATCACATTGTCTGGTTTGGTTTTCTTTGTTTTAGGACTTTTGTATGAGGATATGAACCTCATTTTCTAAGCAAGCCTTTTAATAAAGAGTATTATCATTCCATCACACCGTGTCTGCCTGGTGCTGTCCTGAGCGTCACAGTGCTACTGCAACAACATCCTCTAGAGCAGTGGTTCTCAACCTTTCTGGGGCCGGGACCCCTTGGTAACATTTGCCAAGTTGTGGTGACCCCCAACGGTAAAATTTAGGGATGACGCGGCTGCTTCAGCGACATCTGGCAGAGTGGCGGGAGAACTGACACTGCTGGGCTGGGAGAGTGTTGAGGAGGACTCTCACCTAGCACAGCAGAAATCACACAGCGACCCACAGCTTGAGAACCACTGCCGTACGCCGTCAGAATAATAATTAAAAAAACACCATAGTAATGCATAGCTAGATTCCTATTGGCTGTTTTACTTTGCAATAACCAATAGCAAACTAGCTATTGCACCCGCCCTCTGCTGCTGTCAATCACTAGAAGAGGACCTGATGGAGAACTGCATGTCCCCCTCTGCTGATTGGCAGCAGCAGAGGGCGGGTGCAATATCTACTTTGCTATTGGCTATTGCAAAGTGAAATAGCCAATAGGAATCTAGCTATGCATTACTATGGTGGTTTTTTTTCTGACAGAAAAAAAAAAGTCAGAAAAAAAAAGATTGCAAGGTTTACTCTGCTTTACACTTTCCGGGAGAAAGTGTTTCTTTCCCGGGCGGCCAGGAGCCGCTATCTAATAGGGGGAGACACCCGGGCGACCCCTGGCAAATCGTGATTCAACCCCCGAGGGGGTCGCGACCCACAGGTTGAGAACCGCTGCTCTAGAGGGTACACAAAAAGCTGCTGCAATTTGTCCGGGGGTTTGGGGGGCACTTACTTTTCCATCAAAATCATGCCAATTGTGAAGGGTCGTTCATGATAGCCAATTTGGCTGTTAGGACTAAGAGCAGACAAGCTCTGGTAAATACTTTTTTTAGACTAAATCACATTTTTCTTTGATTGTACAGTACAGGACGCAGGCCAGTAAGGACGGATGAGTTATATGGTGGTACCGCCAAGTGACTGGGCACTGGTCAGAGCAATTAGCAGCCTATATAAATCCTCCCCACCACAGATCCTCACTTTTTTCCAGTGTCCTTAGGTGACGGACGTGTTTTAGTCTCTGACCCCCATCTCATCTCCTGGAATATATCTGGGGCTCATGTTGGACACGTACCAAGCTTGAGTCTTTCTCCTTCTGGACAAGTTCAAGTCTCTGCAAAGTGTGGTCTGCTGCCCTGGTCACAATCTCGTCCACCTTTGGTCTCCACCTTTGAAGTGGTTCCATTTGCTCAGACTAATTCTCGGCCTCTACAGCTAAGCATACTAACCTCGTGGAACAGGCAGTCCCTTTCACTGGATCGTCCTATATGCCTTTCTCAATAGTTGGTGGTTGCTAAGTCCAGGACTAGCTTTGGGGAAGTCATTTCAGTCGGTCCAATGGAAGATCAGTCTTACAGGTTGGGGGGAATATTGGGCAGTCTTTCAGTCAAAGGAACAAGGACTTGGCTGTTCTGCCTATCAACATCCTTGTGCTGAAAGCAGTTCATCTAGTCCTTTACCACTGGACTCAGCGGAAACCGCAGTTCCAGTCCAACAATGCTATAGTAGCATATTTAATCATCAGGGGGGCACAATGAGTTGTGCAGCCCTAAAAGAGGCAGAGAGAATCATGGTATGGGCATACTTTATTCCCAGGGTAGAAAATTGGCAAGTGGTTTTTCTCAGCTGGCAGCAGCTGGATCAGGGGGAATGGTGCCTCTTTTGCAGGCGTTGGATCAAAGTAACAACAGGTGCTTTAAAAAGGGGTTTTGGTGTTGGCGCTGCCTTCACACCATAACCCTTTAGAGTTATTCTTGACGAGTGCAGGATTAGACCCTGCTCTAAAAAAATTCAAATTATATGCACCTGTCACATGCGGGTGTAGAAAAATTGGGCCTTTGGTGTTGGTGGTGCACTGCACAGAGAACATTAGCTGTGGACAAGGAGGAAGAATAGGTCGCTTTGGCAGCTGCGGTGGACTGAGAACCAGTATGAGCCTGGGTGACAGAGGATGAGGAAGATGAGGATGGCTTAGATATACAATCCACCAACTCTTCTGTATGCTGTTGCTGAATAACACGGCCAACACCAGATAAAAAGGACAAGCGTGCCCCACCTGCATAGGATGAACCATGTCCATGGCCACGGCCTGCGGACACAGAGGCTGCTTGCCCTCTTATTGCTCCACAGGAGCATCTGCCTCTCCTTGTTGGCCTTTCCGACATGGTGCGTATTGCAAGACTGTTATAATCGACTGCTATAATAGATCAGTAATGCGGACTGCTATAGAACTCTGATTGTGAACGCTCCTTTTTAACTCCAGTAACACACTACGTAGAGTTGTGGTGTAAGCAGTCTTGTATAGTGTGCTGCCTGGACTTAGCAGTGTGCTATGATTGGGCAAAGTCATGATGACTTTGCCCAATGATGGCTCTTGCCGAGTACAGAACCCTGATTGGGGAAAGTCTTGAACCTGACCTGTGGTCAGGTGCAAGCCTTTAGACAATTAGGGCTTCACAAGGTGCAGTGCCTTGTGGGGTGTTCAGTGGGCGAACAGCCTGCCGAACACACAAACTAGCAAGATCCGAGTCGAACTTGCATTCGACTCAAACATCAAGCCCATCTAGGGTTGCCACCTTTTCTTCAAGCGAAACCCGAACACTCTAGCGATGCGCTGACATTTTTTTGGGAGAACGAGTCGTGGCTTATTCATATATGAATAGTGCCGCCCATTCATATGTAAATATCCCACTTGAGACTATTTTCAGTGGGGGGCCAGTAGCCCCATCTTAATTTTGGTTGCCCCTGTCTGCCTGACATCTTGTGTCCGGGTTTCTGTTGCCATAAACCTGGACACAGCATTCAAAACCCGGACTGTCCAGGTGAATCCTGGACAGGTGGCAACCCTAAGCCCATCTCTAGCTAAGATGACCAGCACGGACTAAAATGACCTCATGATCTAAGAATCTCTGTATGTATTAAGATGACCGTATGGACTAAGATGACCAGTATGAGCTGAAAGGTCTAGTACGGACTAAGATGACCAGTATGAGCTGAAAGGTCTAGTACGGACTAAGATGACCAGTACAGAACAAAAATTACCAAAAAACTTCCAAAATATAATTTGTAATAAAAGAACCCCAGCTGAATTGATACTAAGGGAAAACTAAAAGTTTGGCTCAATCGGAACCGAAAAAACAAAAACAAATAATTTGATCCGAATTCCCAATAACGAACTGAATCGAATTTTGGGTCCAGAATTCAGAAAAAAAATTTGTTTTACATTGATCCGACATGAAACACATTTTTTGAACCTTTACATGTCTAACATACATACCTTTCTGGACAGACAATCCCTCTGCTGGCATGGCTGGCTGTTCTTGCACCCTTGTGATCTCCCCTAGCTGCCAGCAGGAAACTGGGAGGGGGCAGTGCTGAGGGGGGGGGGGGGGGGGGGGTGGCACTGAGGAGGAGGTGGCGCAGCTGGGCTGTGTCCTGTCTAAGGCTGCCTCTGTGTGTAGAGGGCTAGGGCTGCCCTGAAGCAACATGTCAGCAGCCCTAGCAGAGCTCTCAGCTGAACTTAGCTAACTCTCTTTGTAGCAGCTGGCAGTGTGAACTGTGACAACACGTGTTATTGATCTTCACTTGTCCTTACTATATATCAAGGAAAGACAGCAGGAGAGCGGTCAGTATAGTCCGTCCACTACTAGGGAGCAGTGCTGGGGGTCAAAGTTATAGTAACACTAATAATAAAAAACAAAATCATATTTTATATCATGAGAAAATAAATCATCCTCTTGCACACACTTACACTTCAATCCCAATACAAACTTTTTTTAAACTCTAGCTTCATTATCATTTTTTTGTAGAACCACAAACTTCAGCCCTTCTATTAGGTGCTAAGGGAGGTGAAACTCTGGGATTTGTGGCTGAATTAGGCATACAGAGTTCATTTCAGTCTGTAGCAGAAGTTCAGAGTGCAAAACATCAACACTGCTAAGGCAGATAAGAAAATGCTTCTTACAGCACAGAGGGGGATCTGTGGCCACATGATCACGAGGTCTAAATTCAGTCCTTCTATACTGGGATCCACAGCTTTAATTTCCTAATCAGCCCCTCTAAAGGGGTTCCTTAGCCACTGTTTGGGCTGCTATGTCTATTCTTATGCCACTGCTGCACTGCCAACATGCCAACTTGCTGTTCTGCCTGCCACCACCTCATGTGACTGAATGAGGTGCTGTCTGAGACAAAAGTTGCCTAAGGTTGCCTCATTATAGGGATGGCCCTGCATAACTACACAATAATAATATGTAATACATTTTTACTTACATGTACAAACAGGATAGGTCAGTCCATAATTAGCTTCTTTTTCTGGTTTAGTACATGTTCCAGTCAGTCCAGTTCTGTTACTATATCCAGATTTACATTTAAAGCTGACAGTTTCTCCTTCTCCATAAAATACCTCATTGTCATGTTTTTCATCCAGCTCTAAGAAGTTATCATCAAGACTCTGTTGGTTTATGCGACAAATTTCTAAATAAACAAATATGATAAGCAAATGTTTTAAACATCAAACTTTCACAGGTGGTCAACCATTCTCTGTACTTTAACACACGAGCACAAGAAAGATATATGTGAAGTGAATATTTGGTTAATGTCACATTTGCGGATTAATAAATGTGTCCCAATTAATCAAATTATAATATGTATGGAAAAGGTTGTTTGAACTTTGACATAACACAACATGCTTAAAGGGAGAAACACACTTGCAGCATCCTCCAAAGTCTTGCCTTTATAGCCAAATCCCTGGCCGGTCTGACCAGCAAATCCCCGACACTTCTGGGTAGGGTTTTCATATATGTGGTTGATGTTGGATATTATTATACCTCATTTTGAATTTGGTGTTAAGCCAAGCAGATAAATCGATGAGCACCTTGGCTTCAGATCCTACTACAAAGTGCTCTGCATTAAAGTTTTCCTATGATGCTTCCAAAATGTAATTACAGGGGACATATGGCGATGCCGTCTCTGACATCATTGGATCTCCTGTGAGTTGTAAAATGTTATATTGGCCCAGGGAAGAATTGATCCAGGTCTGATCAGCCTCTAGCTGCCGAAATATATCATATGAAATAATATCACGGATCACGGATAATATCACGGATAACAGTGAACAAAACATTTATATTACAAGGTAATTGTTCCTGTAGAGGTGCACTGGAGATGGAGGTAGATCATACCTGTTCCAGTTCTACCTCCCTCCCCTGAGTAAAAAAAATTTAAAAAAGCAAAAAAAAAAAGAAATATGAAAACAAACACACTAGTAAGCAAAATAATATATTATGTAAAATATATAGGTGATCCTAGCAAAGGGGTGTTACTTAGGGTACCAAAAGTTGTGTGTTAATAGACTCCAGTGATGGAAATCCAGGTAATGTAAATATAGGTAGTTAAAGCTTCTACCATATTACATTTATGGCCATTGTCCTCCACAATAAAAGTATAAATAAATGCAAAAAAGGAATTTTGCACAAAACTGACACATCTTTTAATTTAAAAAAAAAGGAAGAAAATTGTGGTTCTTACGTGGTTAACATAAACCTTCCCTAAATACATGTACAGTAATCCAATACCAAGCAAGTTAACTACATTAGGAGGGAGTGCTAATGCTGTAATCAGTCTCTCTTAAAGTGGCAATAAACCACTATGTGAAGGGAGGATTTTTCCCTAATGTGCAAGTATGCATAGCATCCAATTAATTTTAAAGAGGTGTTAAATAAACATCCACTCTTTTCTATAACTAAATTTGCAAATTGAAGCTGAAGTCCAGCCTGACCTTTTTTCCAGCAAACATATAGCAATACTCATTTCTCTATGCACGCGCTGTTTCGGATGAAAACAAATTAAAATATAAACATTTTCATTCGTTTCGTTTGACGAAACATAATTATGCAATGAGTCTCCGAATCCGAAACTGCACATTTAAACAGCAGAACTGCGCATGCGTACTGCCATCTTAAAGGCAGAGCGCATGGCGTCACATGACGCCAAGCATGCGTGGCATCGGGTGACATTATACACATGTACGGACACTGCCATTTTGATGTATATCTTGGTATACACCAAGATGATGGCACCCATACATGCGTATGACATTACCCAAAGCTGCGCACGCGCAGTGTCATGCACTCCACCTCCAAGATGCGGCACACATGCGCAGAACGCCCTGGTGGCCTATATGGCTGCTGCATGTTCTGCAAACTAATTAATAAATGGCCAAATTTTTGTACACTCACCGGCCACTTTATTAGGTACACCTGTTCGTTTGGTAACACAAATTGCTAATCAGCCAATCACATGGCAGCAACTCAATGCATTTAGGCATCTAGACTTGGTGAAGATGACTTGCTGATGTTCAAACCGAGCATCAGAATGGGGAAGAAAGGGAATTAAGTGGCTTTGAACGTGGCATGGTTGTTGGTGCCAGGCCAGCTGCTCGGAATATTTCAAAAACTGCTGATCTACTGAGATTTTCATCCAGTGAGCGGCAGTTGTGTGGATGACAATGGCTTGTTGATGTCAGTGTTCAGAGGAGAATGGGCCGATGGTTTGAGATGATAGAAAGGCAACAGTAACTCAAATAACCACTCGTTACAACCAAGGTACGCAGAATACCATCTCTAAACACACAACAGCTACAGCAGCAGAAGACCACACTGGGTGCCACTCCTGTCACCTAAGAACAGGAAACGGAGGCTACAATTTGCACAGGCTCACCAAAATTGGTCTAAACAGCTCCCTGATATTTCCCTTTTAAAATAGAAAAAGAAATTGAGGGCACAAAGTCCTCAATCTCTTTTTCTGCAGCATCTGTTCTAAATGAATCAAGCAGTTTCTGAATGGGGAGAAGCCTTTGTACAGAGTGCTGTTCATTCATAACTGGGAAGACATAGTACTATGTAACCCCAGTTATTTACAAACACTGGAGTGATCAGCTGATCGCACCAGTGTTTGCTCTGCAGATAGGGTCGGTACATATCACTGATATGTACCAATCCTCCACCGCTCGGCCACACACACAGGGGGGCCCAGCCTGTAGCCGAGCATCAGATCCTTGCCGAGCGTCTCTCTTTCCTTCTTTCCTCACCGCTCGGCCATGTTGCTGTGACAGCGGCTCCTTTCTCCTGCCCTCCCCCTCCCCCTCGCGGCAGCAGCGCTTCCTTCACTTCTCCTCGGATGCCCGCTGCATACAGATGGGGAGACCAGGGGAGTTCCAGAGGAGAAGCCCCACTTCTCCCTGCTGGCTGCGTGCGCCCCCCCCCCACACCTGCAAACGAGGCAAGAGAATTAAGGCAGTTCTGAAGGCAAAAGGGGTCCACCCCGGTACTAGCAAGGTGTACCTAATAAAGTGGCCGGTTTGTGTATATTCAGGCATATCCTAGTTCATTATTTCGGATTCGGATGAACCGCCGAATCAACAGAATCTCATTGATTTGCAAGTTTGCCCGAATCTAAATGCACATGTCTACAAACTACAGTACTTCTGGAGATTGAGTCACATCCTGACCCAATTACTTACTGTGTTACAAATCTCCTCTCTCACCATCCTGTCATTAAAGTCTATTTCCAATTTCGCAGCCAAATTAGGATAACACCTATTTTATATTTGCTACATGTTCCTATTCCCACAGCATAAGCTTAAATTTTTTTAAAAAATACTTCTTGCAGTTTACACTGCTTTTACTTGGGTTAGGGTTTTAAGGGCTAACATTTTGACTTAATTTAATATCTTTCTTTGCAATGTTAGGAGAGGCTGTGAGGGTAAGGGGTCTGAGGTGGTTTGTCCATTGCATGTTAATTAAGCGAATGAGAGAAACACAATCAGTCCTAAACCTTTCTATTAGGATAGATCACCTTGAAGGTGTGAAAAACCCGGAACCGGCCATCTTGCCTGCTTTAAAAGGTAAGAAATATTTTTTTAAATTATTTTTCCTTATGCTGTGTGAATAGGATCACATAACAAACATATAGAGGGGTTTTCTCAAATTTGACTACAAAAGTGGAAATACACTTTAAATGTATTTGTTTTCTCCACTGTCAATCATATGTAGTTGGATCATGTTAGGGTCATGCTTATTCTATTTTCGCATCTTTAGTGGCTGTGGGTTACTGAGTCATACATCTTAGACTGATTTTTGAACTTTTTTTGGGCTAGCGGATAAGGAAGGAAGGAGGGGGGGGGACAAGGGAAGGCACTTTAAACCAAATCTAAATGTCAGGATAACCTTAACCCTTAGGTTAATATATGCAATAAAGATAACTACAGAAATTCTAAAATTGCAGAACAAATACAAAACTAGAAAAGTAATTGGTGTGGTGCTTACCACCGGAGAAACATCTTGGATATTTCATTACTGCATCATAACACAAAGCTGTTAAAGACCCTGGGCGTCTAAAATTGGCCTTGCATTTTACATTTACTTCTGTGCCGTGTTCAAGTATCTCTGGAGGATTCTCTGATGGCTTTATCTCAATGTGATTTTCATCCAAACGTTTGGCAGATATTGTACAAGGCTCTGCAAAATGACATTCAAATCTTATTATCATTTTAAAATGTAATTTAAAAGTGTTGACTAATGAAGGAATTGTGGTACTTACTAAAGCATTGTGGAAGCTCATCCCATTTACCATTCTCACATTTCACACTTATGTGTCCATTAAGCACATATGTGTCATCACATTTAATATCTATTGAAGACCCAGATTCGTAGCCATCTTCATTTTTAGGAGAAATCAATGCGTTTGAAATCTTTGGGGGAAGGCATGGCCCTAGATTATAATTGAAACATAATGCAGATCATAATTATAACTACAGGTCACAATAAACCTAAAGTCACACTAATAGATAAATTAACACAGTAGTTGATGACAAAGGCATGCTCATAGCATCAAGTACATAAGGGTAGGGGACCATTGGGTTTCCAGGGAAGGCGTCTGGAATTTGCTTATTCATGACTAATTTTGTAAGGTTTAAAAGAGGAGTGGATAGATCTACAGAAAAACTGAAAAAAACTGCTAGTTTTAAAAAACACTGATCTTTATTTAAAGTTTGAACTTCTATTTGAAGGTACAGATTGTTCCAGTATTCAAACAATTACTCAATAGCTTAATAGGCAAAGAAAAAAAAGCAACATATTGGTCAAACGAAAGACTTGAGGGAAAAAAGGAAGATATGAATGTATAAACTTACGTCCAGTAGAACATTTTGGGTACGTTATTTGTTTATTTTTACATGTTTCTTTCAGGCCATTTTCTGGTACCATCCCTTCCACACATTCAAATTCAATGGTTTGTCCATTTTCAATCTCATTGCTTTTGTTATAATGGATATTATTACGAGACATTTCTGTTTGTTGTAATACACAGAAACCTAGACAAAAAATATCTCTGTATAAATATGTATGTACTCTATGTCTGAAAAGCTGGAAAGCAAATTGTTTCATAATTCAATATTGAATAATAATAGGTAATTTGATTGATCTGGAAGATACAAGTATTTGAAGCCCAACACACAGGTCCCTAGTGGTCCCTAGTGCAGTTAGGCTTCAAAATTGCTCTATAAATAGATCTGTATTAAAAAACAAAACAAACCGTCACCAATGCAAATCCGCAGTATTCTAAATCTCTTCTCTTGAACCGTTATAAAGGTAGAGCCCTACCACTCAGTGGTTACTTGCGGTTTATTTATGAACTTTTATTCTCTAAACAAGTAAATATATGTGCCGCGCTCCTAAAACTTAATTAATACCCTTAATATTAATTATTGCTGATCTTCCAATAAAAATCTGAGTACCGATCTATAATATTCACTAAGTGAAACCACTGATGTGGCTACATCAATAATTGAATAAAGCAACAAAATGTATTACAAAGTAATGTGCAAAACAAGTGTCCTTAAATTGTGAATCATAAGTGTCGACACCACTTTTCCTTCTTCTTATCCTGTCACTGAGTTTAGTGTGTTTGCTCTTCAGGACAAGAAGGAAACGTGGTGTGGACACTTATGATTTACAAATTAAGGACAAGTTAGCCAAAGTGCATTTCCTAGACTACTGCAACCCCTATTGACCAGATGTAATATTACATAGACACACCCCAAACAAATACAACAAATTATTATAACTATCTTAATGGGAGAGGAATTCCCACACTTGGAACAGCCCCAACAAAAAAGTTCTGCTGGAGAATCTGGAGCAGTTGCCCATGGCAACCAATCAGCATCTCTCTTCAGTTTGCTTAGGTAAGATTTGAAAATGAGTCAGAGAAGCTGATTGGTTGCAGTGCAAATCTGCTCCAGATTTTGTCTACTCCAGTTTTGATAAATTCCCTCCACTGAATTTCTGAAAGAACAATTATGCACTGAATTTCGGGAGAAAAAGGCGGCTCACTTACTTCCTGACTGACTACCTGGCTTCCTGGATTTACTACTTGAAAGACCAAACTTCCTGGCTGAACGCACTGCTTTGAAACCTGACTTCCTGGACTCTTAAAGGGTTATTAAACCCTTCGGTGTTTTTGCATATAGCTACTTTATGGCATTTAAGTACATTTTACACTAAGTTTTGGGGTTTGATAAGGCGTTAATATCGTGCAACATAAAAATTTGCAACTGCCAACATTTATTCTATAGGGTCTTGGCTTTCAGAAAATATATACGGTGTGGGGATTTTAAGTAATTTTCAGGCCTAAAATGTGGGATATAACATGGGTGCAATAAAAGTGAAAAAAAGGCCTCAGTCATGAAGGGGTTAAAATCGGTTTAAACTTACCTCTGTCTTGCCTGCGCGCTCCCATCCAAAAATGTAAACATTCTCGGTCGGCCGCAATGCATCTTGGGGCGTTCGCATTTTCGGCCGGGAGACGAGGAGAGACACAAGGTAAGTCTATGGACACGTGCACCCGCATGCAGGCACCATGGGACAGGAAGTGCCAGCAAGGACAGAGGAGTCAGCGCTGGATCGGAGACGCGCAGCATGGTTTGGAGGGACAGATGAAAATGACAGGAAAGAAGAAGATCGGATTAAGAAACATAATTTAAGGTAAGTGTTTTAACCACTTGCTGACCGGGGTGTTTATTCCCCCTTCCTGTCCAGTCCATTTTTCAGTACTGCAGTACTTTGACTGACATTTATTCCGTCATGCAATGCTGTGCAGAGATTAATTTTATACCATTTTTTGGGGACAGATAGAGCTTTCTTTTGGTGGTATTTAATCACCACTGGGGGTTTTATTTTTTACTATACAATGAAAAAAGTACCGAAAATTTCGGAAAAAAAAACTGTTTTCCCTATGTTATGTTATAAAACAATTATTATTACCCAAATTTTTAGTAAAACATAAAAGTCTGGGTCACGTCGGGTAAAAAGACACAAAACATGTCATGCTTTAAAATTGCATGCGCCCGCGAACTCGCAAAAACTACCATACCCAAAATTGGCCATACGCGACGCTTTAAAAGCTTTTCAGTGATGGATGGGCCTAGAATTATTGCTCTCACTGCGACATTCACGGCGATATGTAACATGTGCGGTGTAATGGATGCAATCGTCGTTTCCGCACGTAGGCGCACTCAACGCATGTTTGCATGTGTATGTGGGGGGGCGGGGGACCTTTTTACATTTTTTTAATTACTTTTATATGTGACTTTTCATTTTTTAATATTTTTTTTAACTTATTCTTTTAAACCTTTTTTCCACTTAACTTTATTGCTATCACATAGGGGACTAACAAGCCCCCTTTGTGATAGCCAATTGTCAGTGTCAGGTCCTCTTTATGGAGACATCAGGGGTCTTTAAGACCCCTAATGTCACCTAGGGAAGCTGATGAAGCAAACACCTGCTTCACCAGCTTTTCTCCGGTTTCTGTACCGGAGAGTGACAGAGGAATGCGGACGTGATGTAATGCACATCACTTCCTCCATTCCACAGAGGAGGAGGAGATCAAATGGAGATCTTGTACTGATTTCAGTTTGATCTCCGGCCGCAGAGCTGCTGTGCTGGTCCACAGCGGAGCTCGGGATCGCCAGCAGCACCTGTAACGGGGGGTGCAGACCCGCACGCATATTACAAGCGATCGGGCATATTACAAGCGAATGCTTGTATGTAAACAGCCATCGCTGTACATTCCAGGCTGATTTCTTGCTAGGCGGCGGGCACGAGCGGGGCGGAATGGGACGCCCACCCGCATTCAAGAAGCCGCTGTACGGCCGGACAGCAGGTGGTTAATTAACATTGTAGGGAGGGAAAAAATCTTTGACTTTAATGTCACTTTAAGTACTGGAAGGACCAGATGAATATATGAATATTATTTTTATTGAAGACGAATACCTGACGGAACTTTGGATTGGCTTGATTTAAATATTTTTGTTTAAAAAAATTAATTGATCTATATTTTATATATATTTAAATGTGCAATATACATAATGCTTAATTGATAGTTTGCAATTATATTTTATTATTTATAAATAGTTTCCTACTTTTAAAAAAAGAAGGTGGAGGAAAAAATTAATTATAATCCGGTTCTAATACCTGACATATATAACATCTTTCAACTGCTACCCTTCATAGTGTACACAAGATCTTCTCTGATATCATCTTATACCTTTACGGGCCTCCACATGATCCCCCCAACTCTGTTCCAGCTACTTCTATCCAACCACATTATCCTTTGGTAATGTGGGCCCTGTCACTCTAGGTTTTTGTTTAAGTTTTACCTTATACATTACCTTTTCAACACTGTTCATCCTCTTATTGACCCATCAGGGAAACTTGGTTATTGTAACGCCCAACGGGAATGCGCAGATGGACCACAGCTGCGGAGGGGGAGAACCTATGCGGAATCCGCAGAGTGTTTGTGATTGGTAATTTCTATGGCAAGTCTTGAGCCTCAAGTTGATAAGGAGCTCAGAGATTCCTCAACAGCACCCTCACCCATTAGGCCTTACTCACCTTGGAATTTCCTCCCCAGAGTTAGTAACAGATAGTAAACCTCTAAATTATCAGAAAAAACTGTCTCTTTTTGTCTCCTTCTTGCAGTGGTTCTAATTTCTCTGGCCCTCTCTCTTCTGTCCCTTTTCTCCTCACTTCACAACTCTCTTTTCTCCCATCCTCCTGCTTTTTTTCTCCCCTTTTCCTTTCCTTATCCTCTACCTCTGGGGTAGATAACACAGATCCCCCCTTCTCCCTGCCTTTTGTATGTGCTTCTCTGTTCAGTCTGTAAACCCCACACAATGTCCTCCATGATTCAGATAAATATAAACGGCCTTAACATGCCTGAGAAGAGGAAGATTTTATTTGCTGACCTTAAGAGACTTAAGACACTGATAACGTTCCTTCAGGAAACTCATTTATGAACTGGCAAGACACCCTTACTGTGTAACAGACTTACCCGTCCACGGTCCAGCGCTGTGTGGAGGGGACGCGCACGGCCAGCTCAGCTTCAGGCTCCTCCCATTCAGGGCCGTCCAGGACGGCAGCCAGCTTCTCCCATTCAGGGCCGTCCAGGACGGCAGCCAGCTCATCCCATTCAGGGCCGTCCAGGACGGCAGCCAGCTCCTCCCATTCAGGCTCGGCGAGGAGGGATTTAAGGGAGCAGATTTGGCTGTTCAGCGTCCGACCGTTGTGAACGGTGCACGCCGAACATCCCATAGGAGTTACTGCTTCTAGCATCCTGCACCATGAGACCCAACAGTGGACCCCACAACAGTAAGTAGCCAAGCAAACCACATTGTAGTGAGGGATCTTGCTGCCACAGACGTATTGCTCATACTGGGAGATCTGTGAAGGTTTAATTGTACTGCTGTGCTGGAGGACTTGCTGTACAGGTGGGGAGTGTTGATTCAGCCAAGGTCTGCCTTGACTCTCCTGCTGCTGACTGTTAACCCGCTCTATGCTGGTGACTCCCGAGGGAGCTGTGTCTGTGCCTGTTAGGTTATAACCTGAACCTGGGACTTGATCTGGGAAAAATCTCTATACTCATACGTATTGTCTGAACCTGTGGAAGTGACTTTGTGTTGATCTATGTAGTGATACCTTGCTGTGCTGTGACTGCTAACAGGACGCAGGGGATCTGCAGAACTTAGTTCATCTTAGCTTGTGGAGGATTAACCAGAGACGCATGTACCTTGATGTGCTGTGAATGCTAACAGGACTCAGGGGATCTGCAGAACTTAGTTCATCTTAGCTTGTGGAGGATTAACCAGAGACGCATGTTGTACACACCTGCCCTAAACCTACTATACATACCAACACAATAGGTTGCCCAAGTGACGGGGGATGATGTGACTGACTCCAAACCCTCCATTAACCACTGCATGGAGTGTGAAGGAAGGAGTCGTAACTGAGCCCCGCCAATACATTAACTACCTCCGCAGT